ATACCTATCCATTTATTATACACTCAATCTCCATCTGCTACAGTTTATATTAGCGGTCACCTTATTCGGGAGGAAACTTCCAATGATGCCGATGATATGCATAAAAAATATTTAGCCAACTAAATTTATTTAATCATGATCAAAATGGTTATCTATTCCAAAATGATGTCCTTAACTTCCTCTCTATTCCATAATTTATTTTTTATAGAATGTTTTGGGAGTACTGGAAAATCATATATATTAAATACAATTTTATATGACTTAAGAACTTATGGAAAAATTGCAATCGCTGTTGCATCTTCTGGCTTTTCTTCAACTCATCTTCATAAAGGTCGCATTGCACATTCACTTTTGAACATCCCTCTAAATATTCATGAAAGTTTCTCATGCAATATCCCTTAACATAGCCAAATAGCGGAATTGATAAGACAATAATTATAATATGGGACAAAATATCGATGACTCATAAATATATATTCGAAGCAGAGGCCATTCCAGGATATAATCAAATTGAATAAGCCGTTTGGTTGTAAAATTATTATTTTGGCAGAGATTTTAGACAAATTTTACGGGTTATTAAACGTGGTGGAAGATGAGACATTGTTAACTCAACCTTAAAACTCTCGTATTTATGGTCGCATATAGTGCCATTATGGCTAGATATTAATATGAAACTGAATGATAGAAACTTAAATTTTTTTTCATTTTTATATAAGTTAGTTTGCACAATATGAGTCAAAAAAAATAAAATAATTTTTAATCCCAAAAATCTAAAAATTACTAAACTTAAATGGCATCATAACTCCAAAAATAATGATGGAAACTTAAATTTTTTTCATTTTGTATTGATATAAGTTAGTTCACACAAAATGAATAAAAAAATAAAATAATTTTTAAACCCAAAAAACCTAAAAAATATGACTAAACTGATAATTGACATCATAACCAGGGTTGCCAGGTCAAAATTTTCAAATTGCGGGAGAATTTTGGTATTTTGCGGGTATAATATTAAAATTGCGGTAGAAATATAAAAATTGCTAAAAATATTTTGCAGGCCTTCGATCAGATATTGAATTGACTTAGTTATCCGCCTATTATTTTTGATAATTACTTTATGTTAATACAAAGTCGGTAACTATTTTTCAAAATAGGTAACTATAGTATGAGACAATTTTTTTTAAATACTATCTTTATTATTAAAATATATTAATTTTATAAAAAACAAACGATTTTAATTTTACAATGTTAAAAAATATTAAAAAGATTTTATAAAATATAAAAAAAAATATGGATAATTAAATATTATGATATTAATTATATTTTATTTGAGATTTAAATTGGAACACGTTTACCGTCGTTTTTAAGGTATTTATAAAATTGCTGGCATGGCATTTATAATTTTGCTTAACCATTAGTTCAGCCTCTAATGTTGTTAGAGCAATCCGATTTCTCTCCTTTCTCCAGGCACTCCTCAAAAATGTGCTCCACTAAACGTTTACAGTCGTTTTTAAAATATTTATAAAATTGTTGGCATGGCATTTATAATTTTGTTTAACCATTAGCTCAGCCTCTAATGTCGTTAGAGCAATCCGATTTCTCTCCTTTCTCCAGGCAGTCGAGGTGGAGAAAACATACTCGCATCTTTTTTCCAAGCATGGGGATTAATCGTTATTACGATTCCTCCTTTGTTTTTAGATCATCTAACTTTAAATATCCTAGCAAATCATAAAATATAGAGAGAATTACAATCTCCTAAAACAAGACATCAATGTTTATCGGTATTTTTAATATATTTATTAAATTATAAAACCATCAATTGCTAGTTCTGTTCCAAGGTCATGATATTTATACATTTGTAAATAGAATTATTAAAATCAAATTTTGATTGCAAATATTCTAAAATTGTCTTAATAAAAATTGCTTCTTTTAAAAATACATTAATTAGAGTATTATTTGAACATTTTAATATAATATTTTTAGCAATAGCGGCATAAAATTTATTATCAATTTTTAACTGTAAAGATGAACACAGCTGCAGCATAATTTTGTGAATCTTCATTAATAAAGATTCTTTTGATTGCAATTGAATATTAATAGCATGTAGTAGATTTCCTACATGTGAAATCATTCCTAAATATGCTTCTGTCATTTCATCCTTGAAAATTTTTTTTAGAATTTCATGGCAAATTTTATCATCTCTATTTAAGAAGTAATTTTTAAAGGTTGGTAAAATTTTAAAATTCTATCGATGATAACCACCTGATAGGGGCATGTCGCAACAACTCACACCATTCCAAGTCAGACCACTCCACAAACTCATCTTTTAGTTGATGAACTAAATTCGTTAAAACATTTCATCTTTCGACATCCACAGATAATACATTCATTGCCTTCTAGCAAGAATTATGTAGTATATGGCATATGCAGCCAATTGGTATTTAGTCATTATTGTGCTGCTTCAATTCGGTAAATACACTTTGGTTTTTGACAAAATTTACATAGGAATTATCAGCGCAGAAAGATGACAAGCAACTCATTGATAACCCTGAGTCAGCTCTATTTATTATTATGTGGTTAATAAAATATCGCTAGATTTTTTACTATCCGAGGAAATTTTTTACTGTTTTATTGAAATACCCTTATTCTTGTTGAAATAGCTAAGGATCAAGGGAAATGTTTTAATATTTCCCTTATTAGATGCATCTGTTAAAATTGTATATGGATGTCGACCTTTCAAATCTTCTAGAATTGACCTCCTGGATTCAGGTCATAAAACATTTGTGATAGCCTTGCTCATTTTTGTTCTAGCACAAATAAAGTTTAAACTTATATTGGAGTCGTTAAATATTATGGGGAAAATATTCTACCCATATTGTAATGATAGGATAGGTTTAAATTATTTCCGCAACTGTAGTTGCATCTGTATTATTAATAATGTGATTGAACTATAATAAATAAAATAATTATCAGTATCATTGAAATCAGTATAATATTATTTTTTTATATATTTAATTTAACCTGAACGTGATAATTAAGCGCCAAGATCTCTATTGTTATATACACTGAAAATGATAAAATATGAATGATGTTGATTTATTATTGGATATAAATAAAACAGGATAGAAAGAAATTTACAAACTAGACATGTTTTTAGAATAAATATTTAACATTTATTTTAAAAATATAAAAATAATCAATTACTGTCTCTCAAAATTATTATTTATATAATAAAAACATTAAAATGCTAAAAAGAAATTGTGCGGGAGATATTAAAAAATTGCGGTAGAATTTTGAGGGAGATTCCTATTGCGGTAGTTTTGCGGGAGTGAGATGTCTGCGTGTAAACTAAAAAATTGCAGGAGTCTTCCGCTGATGGGGGGAGACATGTAAACTCTGATCATAACTCCAAAAATATTGAAGGAAACTTAAATTTTTCTCTATTTTGGATTTATATAAGTTAGTTTACACAAAATTAGTCAAAAAATAAAATATTTTCTAAATCCCTAAAATCTAAAAAAAAATGACTAATTCCAAAAATAATGATAGAAACTCGAATTTTTCTTATTGTATTTATATAAGTTAGTTTACACAAAATGAGTTAAAAAAATAAAATATTATTTAAACCCAAAAAATCTAAAAAAAATGACTAAACTAAAAATTGACATCATAACTCCAAAAATAATGATGGTAACTTAAATTTTTTTCATTTGTTGATATAAGTTAGTTTACACAAAATGAGCAAAAAAATAAAATAATTTTTAAACCCCAAAAATCTAAAAAAAAAGACTAAACTGATAATTGACATCATACTCCAAAAATATTGATGGAAACTTAAATTTTTCTTCATTTTGTGTTTATATAAGTTAGTTTACGCAAAATGAGTAAAAAAATTAAATATTATTTAAGTCCAAAAAATCTAAAAAAAATGACTAAACTAAGAATTGACATCTAACTCCGGAATTTAAATTTTATCTCATTTTGTGATTATATAGTTTTCACAAAATGAGTCAAAAAAAATAATTTTTAAATCCCTTGTAATTAAAAAAAAATGACTAAGCTGATGATTGACATCATAACTCCAAAAATATTGATGGAAACTTTAGATTTTTATTATTATGTTTATATAAGTTTTTATCAAATAAATTTATCCAGAGTAAAGAATTATGCTCCTATAATTCTCGTTACTTTTTATTAAAAATTAAATTTTTAATCTATTATGCCCTCCAGGGCAATATAATTATGATTTGTAACACATATAGTGATTATTTTCATGTTAAAAACTTCTATTAAATTGATAACTTGCTTCCTTATTATCTCGATGATCCGGTAATTCTTTAATAAAACTTGCATCAGATATAAAGATTAGTGTAACCAAGATGGCGTCTCCAGCTGAGTTGCATTGATGTACACTTTTAATAAATGAATCGGGTCTAGGTAGATGTAATATATTTTCTATAAATATTATAGATTTATGGGCTACATTTTCTTCTATATTCTTTTATATTCAATTAGATAATTTTAATTTTGGATAAATTTGATTATAATAAATACATTTTATTTATATTTAAAAATTGATAGGCTATAAAATAAAAATAAATTTAATGTCAATTCTCAGTTTACCCGTATCTCATTTTACCTATTCACTTTAGTTTCAACGCGGTTCAAATTCAAAAATTTTTTTTTTTGATTTTCATTTCTTATACATATCAAAATAATATTCTCCCTTGGCAACTGACAAAGATCAATTATATTTTTTAGGCTAATAATTTGTATACTTTGTACTTTTTCATCTCCGTTATAAAATATTTTAAATTATGTGGGTTTTAGCTACATTACTTTTGTTAATGATAATTATTTTAGTAATCTATAAATATTAATCAGATATAAATTAATTTTTAGGTTATTTGCTATTTGATACTCATTTCTAAAGATCCCAATTTGAACTTTATGATTGGTGAAAAGTTTTTTATTGATTATGAATCAATTAATCATTCTGTATATAAATCTTTTCCCAATATATATGAGGATTCCTCGTTATATTTATCTATAATTATACCAGCATACAATGAAGAAAACAGATGTAAATATGAAATATAACTTAATTTAACCATATTTTAGTAACAAATATGTTAGATGAAACATTGGATTTTCTTAATCAAAGAAAAGTTAATTATTATTTTTTAAAATAATTTATTAGATAATATTAGGCTAATGATTCAAAATTTAGCTATGAAATAATTATTGTTGATGATGGTAGTGCGGATAAAACAACTAAAGTGATTTGTCTAAATTCAAATTATAATAAATTAATTATAAGGTAGCACTAGATTATTCAAAAAAATATACATCAAAATATGTGAGAGTTTTAACCTTAAAAAGAAATAGAGGGAAAGGGCAAGCCATTCGACTAGTAATATACTAGCTACATTAAAAAATTAAATTATTTTAGGGTGTATTATGTTGTAGAGGTAATTTAATATTGTTTGCTGATGCTGATGGTGCTTCAAAATTTGGGGATTTTGAAAAATTAGAGGATGCAATTATTCCTACTTTAAAAGAACCAACTTTGATTTGTGGATCAAGAGCTCACATGCAACAAGAAGTTTTAGTCAGAGTAAAAAAAAAATTAAAATTATTTGTCCCATAATATAATTTAATTGCTCAAAGTATAGTTCTGAAAATTAGTTTTTATCCCAATAAAAAAATGATACTTTAATTATTTATCATATTTTATATTAAAATTATATGTCTTGGCCAAAATTGGATTATTTATTTTTAAGCCTAGCCTGGTTCAAATTATTTTATTAGTACTAGCTTAGACTAGTGATCTGCATAGGGCATAATTTTTCAAGCCCGGCCCGATAAAAAATTTTTTAAAAAAATTTGCAGGCCCACCCTGAACCCAAAATTTTTTTAAAAATTGCCAGCCCGGCCCGAACCCAAAATTTTTTTAAAAATTGCCGTCCCGGCCCGAACCCCAAATTTTTTTTCAAAAAATTTACCGGCCTGGACTGGCCGAATTTATTTAAATATAGAAATTAATTTTTATAATTACTCAAAATAAAAGACATATGTTATATGTCGTTTAGTTTCAATAAATAAAATCAAATATTTTTATTTTACATAAAAAATTCAATATAATTGAGAAATTTAGATATATTAAAAAAAAATTCCAATGTCCGACCCGACCCAGCCCAAATTTTTTTTAAAATATTAGGCCTGGCCCAAGCCCGATTATTTTAAATAGTTTTAAGCCCAAGCTCGGCCCAAAGCCCATTTAGCCTGGGTACAGGCCAGGCCTAACTTTGCAGATCTCTAGCTTTGACCTACATGATTTACACTTTACATTTTTTTAACATAAAAATAAAAAACTAAAAACTGTTGTAAGATATATAAAAAAATCTATACATATGTTTTCTTTTTTTATAATAATATTAATGTACTTTTTATAATAACCTCACTAGGGTTGTGCCAATATTAAATATTAAATTGGGGATAATATTTAATATTTAAAAAATTTTTTTTTAAAAAAAAATTTATATGTAAGAAATAACGAATAAAAAGAAGCCAAAATTCAATTTATTTAAAAAAAAATTGATTATATTTTTGAAAATGCATAACTCAATATTTTATCCAAAAGTAAATTACAAGTTTGGAGATATTACCCATAGATGACAAAAAGGTTTGGGCATCTATTTGAAAAATTTCAAAGCTTAGGTAATATGTTGGCTAAAATTGATTTAGTTCATTATAAAAATCAACTACATGAAGCCATTTAGCAACACTACATTTAGCTATAAACATTGCCTATATTTTAAATAGATGATTACGTTTAGAAAATATTAAAACAAAATACACCTGATCATTTGCAAAAGTTAGGTTCTTTTATACATTCTATATATCAGTATTCAAAATCAATAGATTTTTGAACTTTTTACCTTAAATAATTTTAAACATTTTGTATATCAATATTCAAAATCGATAGATTTTTACCTTAAATTATTTGTTGCCTATTTTTAATACAATTTAGAAATTTAAAATTAGGCTTTTTTTTAAAAAAATCTGCCATTATAATGTAAATTAATTTATTTATACTTTTCAGTAATGAAATAAGAGATAAAAATGAAGCCTTGAAAAAGAAAATTTTCTTATACCCATTGTAATTTCTGATCTTTATGATAATGAAGCTGAAAATCAATATATGATGATGAGTATGAGTATGTAATTGCCATACTCCATCCATACTTCAAGCTTGAATGGGGTTGAGACTCATATAAAAGAGAGAGAAAAGAATAGCAGATGCAAGGTTAAAATATGGATAACCTTCCTAGTTTTCTCTTATATATCAAGTTCCTGAAAAAATGTAAAAAAGAAACAATACCTTTTTGATTAGCATATGCAACAACATGGTATAATTTAAATATAATTTAACACACAGATTAAAGATTTCATCATCTTAAATATATTTTCCAATATCAAACATTTATAAAACAATACTGCCAATTTAGCACACAGTTTAAGCACTTATTCAGTATGACTTAAATGTTTTTACCTATAGGGAGGGGATTGGTGTTGTTAAAAGGCTCGATTTGAGTCGATTTTTAAAAATGACTAACTCAGTATTTTATTCAGGAAAATATTACGCAAGCCTGAAGATTTTAGTCATATATAGCATAAAGGTTTATACATCTATTAGCAAAACCTCAAGGTTTAGGCAATATTTTTCTGGCTAAAATATTGAGTTAGCCATTTTTGAAAATCGGCCAAAATGAGGAAATGCATCCTTGATAAAAACTTTTAAAATATGATATTTTTAAAATCAAATAATAAGGAATGTTAATTTTTTTTAACTGTAATTGTTAATTACAAATAAAATATTTCCAATACTAAAAAAATATGCATCAACAATATATTGATAATGTTATATATCAATATCAAATATATTTGTATCATGATATATTAACCATTTGAAAAAATTTATTGGTATCAAAACCGATACTTTTTTAAATTATTGTTAACAAGTGTGTTAATAGTAATGTATTCAAACAAAGGTTAAATGATATAATATGATATATTTCAATTAACGTAATTGATCTGTTCAAAAATTATCCTAAATTGCTACATGCCCAAAATTTTTACTTGAAAAATATGAAATATAGACATTTTTATAAAGGTCAATGGTAACCTTATTATTAATTGGTCCTCTATACACATTGTTTGCAGATTTGATGGAAAACATTTTCATATTTTATAATTTATTTACAAATCAAATTATTTGACTTGCAAAAATTGTTAATATAATTATATTTAATCCAGTTGATCTTTTAATTTTATATAATATTAAAACTTATAATATTCAAATTTTATCATATTACAAAAGATAACCTTTTTAATATGTTAAATATGACCATTTTAATTTATAACAGCCTTGCCTTCAGTCATGTCTATAATTTCTTCTCTGACAAACTTGTACTATTTATATTTTCCATATTCATACAGCAATATTGGCAATGTTATTTGATCTGCACTGGGCCTCTGTAAACTATTTATCGCAGCTAGCTCTTCACTGTACCTCCAACACTGCCACATGCACTTTTTCTATGCATAGTGGCTAAAAAATGCCATTCTGCTGGAATGCCAAAATATTTCACATGAAAACATAATAGTATTTTCTATTTTTATACTTAGCCATTGGCCCATCAGAAAAATAAAAAAGATTGCACAGATGTCATGGCAATTTTTTTAAGTGCACTGCATTAGTATTATGCTGTAAGCAATCAGATATAAGAAACAATGATTGGATATCTTTATGATATAACAAACGGATGATAATTGGTTCATTTATAACTTTGAATGATTCTCTACAAAATCACATACAAATAAAAATGTATTTTATTAAACTAATAAAAATTTTATAAGGGGACTGCTGGCTTAGAAAAGAATGAGGTGTCAAATCTTCCATTTTTCAATAAAACTTTTGATAAATTTATAATCTGGCTTGACTGTTATTTTCAATGTTGTCTATCGATAAATAACAACTTTTTATAAATTTTAAAATCTACCTGGTTATAATTGAATATTTCCTCATGTTACTTTATTATATATTCCGGCCATGGGCAGTTTTTGCGTTATCTAAAATAACAAGAATGGTTAAATGGATCACATAAATTTTTGGGTAAAAGGTGCTCATGTTTTGAAGTGAGTATTCATCCTTTTTAGTTAAACGTGGTAATTTTTATTGTTTTAAACTGACTAATTTAAAAAATCCTCATGTAATATCAGGTTTCTTTCAGAATAGATATTTCTTTTAGATTGCTAAGAATTAATTCTTTTAGCATTTTAGTTTTTTTTCCATCTTTTCTAAATGACAAAGCAACTTTTATGCCAGGTATTTTTCTACTAATATCTTCGTTGTAATGGAAAGATTTTACAGCATTAACTATACTTTCATCTATACTTGGTATTTTTGTTGCTCTTGCCATATGATAAGATACTTAATATTTTTAATTAACCAACTACCTGGCATTAAAGTTAAAATTTTACATTTATAATTACGTGATAACTATGAGAATTTATTTTTAAGATGTACTAATATGTCATCTGCATTTTCGTTTTTATTTGAATTTTTACTACCATCTCATTAATATTTAAGCTGGCAGTTCCTTTTTTTATTAAAATTTTTTGGGGATATTGTTTTTCCAATGTCCCCTTTTTTTGATAGGCGATTCTCAGTTTTATTATTGTTATATCGATTGTTTCATTCCTATCAACTTCTATGTGTTGATGCTAAAAAGTCCGATTTGGATAGATTTTTAAAAGCGGCCCAATTAAGATTATAATCAAAGTAATATTATGTTAACCTGAAGATTTTGGTCAGGAAAGGTTTGGATATCTATTTACCAAATCTTGAGCCTTATATAATATTATTTTGGCTAAAATTTTTATAGGGCCGTTTTTGAAAATCCACCAAAAGGCTATGCCTATTGTTTGAATTTTTGCTAGTCTTAGTCCGTAGCTATTTTCATATTTATTGAATTTTCATAAGTTTTTTTATCAACCATTGATGGTTAGGAATATTCAATATATTTATACACTTAGTTCTTTTATTATAGTATGCATAATTAAATTTTTTAATTACAATTAGAAAAAAAGAAACTTTTACTTAATTTAATTTTTTATATGATTTGTTAATACATAATTTATTGAAGGCAAATCCCCTCCTAAATATACCTTCCCTCCCCCCAAAAAAAACATTTCGCAGCCTTCGCCCGCGATATTTACCCATCGCTTTAATAACCCCATGATATTTATTTTAAAAAATCTTATAATGATCCACCTTTTGTAATCTCAAAACAATTCTAATTAAACTCTTTTAGGCCTCATGATTATTTGGGCCAGGAAAATAATCATCAGTTGGTGATAATCAACTAGTTCTTACTAACCGTATTCTAAATCACGAGAAACTGTACTAAAATTTTATCTGTAAATGAATCAAAAATAAATATATTAAAAAACTTAAATTTTTTTATCACTTATTTTTATCTTTAATCAACAAATAGGGTTTATTTTAACTTTACCCTACCCCCTTCCCTTCCTCCTCCCCACTTAGATGCC